GACAGACGGACAGACAGACAGACGGATATCGCTAAATCGACTTAGAATTTTACGCTGATCAAGAATATATATACTTTGTTGGGTCTGACATGAGTATTTCGAGGAGTTACAAACGGAATGACAAAGTTAATATACCCTCCATAGTATGGTGGAGGGTATAAAAAAAGGGGATACGCTTTATATAACCTTACAGGCAGATTTAAGGTATTTTTGGAATTTTAGGCAGTTCATCCATTTAAAAAGCTGTCCAAATTCGTCCAAGTTTTGCCCTACAGGGCGAGATAAAAACTTGCAACAAAGTCAAACGCAATACTTTGAAATGTTTTTAAATTTTATTGAATGAATGCCAAATATGTCGGAAATAACATCAAATCTTAGAATAAATTTAGATTTGTTCGAAACCGTATATCCTGCCGAATGTTGCTCTGCGGTAAATTGACCCATTCTTTTGGTATTTTTTAGTGCCAACCTTGCTTTCGAAAATACTCCAGACACAATAGTCCAACGGATTAGTATCCGGAGATTTTGGTGGCCATTGTGCGCTGGAAATGAAGCAAGGAACCTCATTTTGTAACCATTCTTGGGTGGTGGGTGCTGAGTGCGAAGGTGCTGAGTAATTTTGGAATGTCCAAATGTTTGCGTGCCCAAGGCTTTAATACACCTTTATTTTTTCGATAAGCGATGGTACAGATAAAAGCGATGGTACGACATACAAAGGATTTATTCACATTTAAATGCTGGAGTGCTCTAACGATAGCCACTTGTGGTTTTCCAGCCAAATATAAAGAAATCACACTATCACGCTTGAATTCCATCACGAATAACTTTTTTTCTTGAAAATTCTCACCAAAATGCTTTTGTACGCTTGTAAACAATATAATGAACTATCACTGGAATAATTTCAACAGCTGTAGGACGAGCGGCTTAGAAACGACAGCTGTCTGAAGTTGGTTGCAGTTTTTTCATCTCACCCTGTATATAACTACACCTGCCAATATTCGGTATTCTGATGATTTCTGTCTCATTTTTCACCTACATTGTTTCAAACTTGATATCGGCTTTCGTAAGTGGGCACCCACTCCTACCTTAACCCTTTCAGTGTTTTTGTCAAATATATTTGACATTTAAAAGTACTCTCTTTCTTTGCCATTTTTTGTTTTTCTTACGAACCGTTATTTTTGATATTTTTTAATAACAGACACGTTCGCTATTTAAAAATATTGCAGTTCTATTCTATTAGTTTCTTTTTCGAATTTCTGAACACATTTTAATAAATTAGTACGGAATTTCAGATTTTTATCTCGACAAAAATTTTCATTGACACTGAAAGGGTTAAATTAAGTTTGTTAAGTATTTTATTGATTTTCTACATATTTTTCAAAGAATTATCTGAGATTGGCATTTAGAGTTAGTAATTGGCATCGCCTTTTTTGGGCAGTTTATTGTCTACACCGGTTCACGTTTTCGTATATTCCCCTATATAACTGATGCCACCCATGAAGCTTTGCAAGTTGCTTACAAACGTTTGGCGGGAGATTAATCGCACATTATGAAGTTTTGTCCAAAATTCTCATGCTGCAATCGTTCTAAAAAATAAGATCTAGTATAAAGATGGGATATATTTAGTGAAATGCTAGTCGGAACACCGTCTGAAACTTGCTAATTTTTTAGCATTTAACATACACAGTTCAGATGAAGGCATAACTACTTCCGTTCTCAACCATATATGTATAGATACCTAGTTCATGACGATTAACACCTTGGAATGAACTTTGCATTTCGTCTTATGCTGTAAACAAAGACAGGGACCTTCAGACATATGAAACATTTGTCGACCCCATAGTTTAGACAAGTGTGTGGCTAGAATCGAATGCTTTTGTTCTTCTACAAATATCGAAATTTATCCGAAAAAATAGTGACAAACACACATGTGTTTTAGTTGCAAAAATGTCAAACTTTTGTATAAATAGTTAGGAACTTAACACATTAAGCCAGCACAGTTCCAGTTTGGATCAACGATAGAAGACTTGAAATCAAATAAAGCCTAAATCATGAAGTGGTTATCTATTATTTTGGCCCTGTTTGCCATGTTTGGCACATTCGTCCTTTCTGCCGATACTAGTTCTACTACTCCCGCACCAGCTGCCACTTCTGCTCCAACGGCAGCAACCCCAACAGGTCCTGTAAGGAAAATTGTTAGAATTAAGAACTTAAAGTTTACAGTGATTAGAAGGGTTATGAGAAATCAGGCGGGCGCTAGGAAGGCTAGAAAGGCCAGAAAAAATAGGTCTGGTTAAAATCTATTTGCCCTCAGCTAACTTTTAAATAAAATACCAATTTTTTCGTACAAACTGCAAAAATTTGTTTCAATTCAATTTCGCCGAATTAATTCTAGGCTGGATGTCATTGATATCAGCGTTATATTACGGTTTTGAAGATGCAAAAATTTCAAATCGTCTCAAATGTATATATGGATACAGCTCCCCGACCATGATGATTGTGTGGGCCGCTATAGCAGCCGATGGTCGCTCTCCGCTCGTATTAATCGACCGTGGTATCAGAATAAATGTCGAATATTATCGCGAAAATATTCTGCAGGGTGTATTAAAGCCTTGGGCACGCAAACATTTTGGCGCTGACCTTGGACATTCCAACAGGACTCAGCACATTGCACTCAGCACGCGCCACCCATGAATGGCTACAAAATGAGGTTCCTCGCTTCATTTCCACAATGGCCATCAAAATCTCCGGATACCAATCCGTTGGACTATTGTGTCTAGAGTATTTTCGAAAGCAAGGTTGGCACTTAAAAAATACCAAGCAAGCGCTTCGCCGGGAAAGGACCAAGAAAAAAAAAGTAATTAACAAGTTAAAAAGCAGTAAGTTCGGCCGGGCCGAACTTTGAATACCCTCCACCATTTGAAACGAATTTGGGAATTTTCAAAAAATAAAATTCTTAAAAAATTCTGTTAAAATTTTAAAAGTCCGAATATAGCCGTTATATTGGCGTCTATACGACGTGGACCTACATAGGCATTGTTTGCCATTAGCCATTGCCATATTCAAATTCGAAACCTGAAATAAACGGTGAATAATGTAGCTAAAATCATCAAAATATCGTATATAGGGATTTATCGTTATGTCGGAGCTGTGCGAAGACATGGGCCAGTATAGATAATTTTCTTTTTTTTTTCATAGGCTGTAGCAACCATTACGAACTTCAAATACGCGTCTCAAACAATTTCGGTGGGTATTGTACCTAAACTCGTCAAAATACCGAATATAGGCAGTTACTGATGTATGGGGCCTATACGAAGACCTGAGCCTGCATAGGCAATTTTCTGTCACAGACTGTAGTTCCCATTACGAACTCTAAATACGTAATTTGAAACAATTCCCGTGAACAATGACGCTTGAATCATCAAAATACCGAATTTTGGGAGGTACCGTTATATGGGGTCTATACGAAGACGTGGACCTGCACAGAAAATTCTCTGTCATAGGCTTCCAATACGAATCTCAAATACCAAATTTGAAACAATTCCGGTGAATAATGTCGCTAAAATCATCAAATAACCGAATATCGGGAGGTACCATTATATGGGGGCCATATGAAAACCTGGACCTACAAGGCCCATTTACGAACTTATCCTGCCTACTGGAAAAATAAACACGTGTGCAAAATTTTAGCCTTCTACCTCAATTCGTTCGAAAGATAGCGTGATTACAACAGACAGACAGACGGACATGGCTAATTCGACTTAGAATTTTACGCTGATCAAGAATATATATACTTTGTTGGGTCTGACATGAGTATTTCGAGGAGTTACAAACGGAATGACAAAATTAATATACCCTCCATAGAATGGTGGAGGGTATACAAAATGTAATGTAAAGTATTGAGATGTGCTAAGTTTAAATGGATTCGGATGTTAATTTCGCCTTTTATGTGCTTCAAGGATATTCCAAATTTTGACCTTTTGTGGGGGAGTGAAACGGTATTGCCCATCTCCGAACTTGATCTAAGTGTGATAATAATATTACGATGTAGCAAGTTTGGACCAAATCCGATACTCCCTTCGGACGGACATCGCTAGATAGATTCCAAATGTCCTAAAACGGATTTGGTCCAAAGAGACATAGGGTCTAAAACCGTTATTTCGCTGAGGCACTTTTTGGCCGTTATAAATGATATACTCTCTCAAGCCTTATGTTAAGGGTATACAAACCTAGTTTATTTCAGAAAAATTTGTTTTTTTTTTCATTTGGCACTTTTTCACAATTCCTTGCAAATTTCTTATAATTTTACTGTGCTCTCGATAGTACGCTCTTTTGAATCAAAACCCTAAAGGTGTTTTTGGTTCTTGGACCAAACGTTATTATGACCCGATATAGTTTTGACCATATACAAAGGCAACCCCATCCTTTGAGATATAGTTCATAATATTTAGGATAGGGCTTTGAAATTAGGTAGAGATCTTTTTCGGTCCAATAGAATAGTCTCGTTGTAAGATAACTCAACGGTCTCCATGTCGCAACGTTGCAACTCCTACCTCTTTTAATTGTAATCATTCTGTAATTTTTGAAGTGAGAATTCAGAATAACACCTCTTATTTGAAACCCCTAATTTGAAACCATATGCCTATTTCTTGTGGAAGGAATTTACCTGTTATGAATCCAAAATTTCAAAACAACAACAAAATATTGTTGTTTAGGCTTGACATGTTGGCTCTCAACGAAATTTTGCCAAATGCCTGGACTTTTGTTGGACATAAGCAGCACTCCAAATTTTATCCGTTATAAATCCATTTCTTTTAATTTTCGATCTTTTAATTTGTGTTACCCAGATTTCAATATTTACAAGCCAAATAAATGTATCACAAAAATATGTGTGTGTAAAGAAAAAGATTTATTTTTTAAACAAATATTGAATTATAACAGGATAAAGAAAAGTAATGGAAAATGATATTGACAAACTTCGTAACAATATTGTATGCATTTTAACCAGATTTCTGGTTGTTCTTTTTGACTTTACGTTTAACTGAAAATTTTAAATTTGTAATTTTTACTCGTTTCTTCTTGGCACCGCCGCCATTTGGCGGTGGCGAGGGTACTGCAGGAGGTGTAGCTGGTGGAGCGGGGTTTGCAGGTGTGGTTGGAGTAGTGGGAGTTGTTGGTGTCGTGGGAGTTGTTGGTGTTGTGGGAGTTGTTGGTGTTGTGGGAGTGGTAGGTGTTGTGGGAGTTGTTGGAGTCGTGGGAGTGGTAGGTGTTGTGGGAGTTGTCGGAGTTGTGGGATTTGTTGGAGTTGTCGGATTTGTAGGCGCTGTAGGATTTGTTGGTGTTGTCGGATTTGTAGGCGCTGTAGGATTTGTTGGTGTTGTCGGATTTGTAGGCGCTGTAGGATTTGTGGGCGTAGTTGTCGATACAAAACTATTCATTGTCGCAATAAGCACAATAAATACGCCAATATATTCAAAACTCTTCATGATTATAGCTGCTACTACTGCGTTTTTTGCTACGATAGATTGTAAACTGGAACTGTGATGCTTTGAAATTCTCAACTCTCGCCTTTATATATGAAATTTAACCCAAATAAGATGAATACCCAAGGTCATAGTGCGAAAAAGTGACGTATGTTTGTTTAATAAAAAATAGTTTGTGTTCTAATTTCGATCAGAATTGTTTACTTTCAAATTTAGATGTTGGATAATTTCATCGGAATTTATTTACTTTAGACATCTCATCTCAAAACACTTGAATGTTGCGTCTTTTTTTACATTTACTTCAAATTATTCAAAATTTGGAAAGGTGGTGTTATATTTGTTAAGCTGTTTTTTTTTTTTTAATTATATGGCAATTTCCAATATTTTCTTGTGGGCCTGTAATTTGAACTTTTTTTCATCGACGTTTTTTCTTGGTATTTTTATACCCTACAACACTATGTTTTGGAGGTATTATAAGTTCCATTGGGCCGAAAATTATGTAACAACTCGCAAATTTGGTCCCCGACATAGGAAACTATAGTCAATCTAGCTATGCATGTTCCTCCGTCTGTCCATGTTAATTTGTAAACAATCGCAATTATAGCTCGATCCTCACGAAATTTCTTCTTAGCCTAATACCATTAAATATAGAGGAGGGTCTAGGTTCAGAATAGAACCTTATTGTTTTTGGAGTTGATTGCTAAATATATAGGGGTTGAAATTGACCGAAGACAGGAAATTTTCCTGATTTTGCAGTATCTCTATATGCCACAATTATGAAACAATCGACGCAAAAATTTACATTAAGTTAGAGTTTTGGAAATGGGCAGAAGTCTACCAATTTGTGCTGCCATCGGACAATATTCAGCGGGTTAAATAGACCCTAACTTTTTTGTAAGAAAATACGAAAATTTCCACTAAACCGCAATATTTTAATCCCAGCCAAATCACAAATTCATTAAAAGGCCACTTCTGACAATAAAAGTGATGCTGAGAGCCAAGAAATCGGATATATAGAAACATATGTACAATATATATTTAAATGAAATAGATCTTATTTATTCTGCTTATAAATCAAGAATCGCTGGGCCCATTTTCACAATTCCCATTAATTCGTAATGGTCTCTTGCCAGAAAAGTTTGAAATATAAGAAAATCGCGGAAAAATTTGTCAATGAAATTTTTGGTCCATTTTCTTTTTTAAAATTTTTTCATCTTTTTTGACGCATGTTAAACTCGTCAAAATACCGAATATAGGAAGGTACCGTTATATGCGCTATACGAAGACGAGGACCTGCACAGACAGTTTTCTGTCATAGGCTGTAGTATACATTTCGAACTTTAAATACCAATACTAAAATCATCAAAATACAGAATATCGGGAGGTACCGTTATATGGGGGCCATATGAAAACCTGGACCCACATGGCCCACTTACGAACTTAACCTGCCTACTGGAAAAATAAACATGTGTGCAAAATTTTAGCCTTCTATCTCAATTCGTTTGAAAGACAGCGCGATAACAACAGACAGACGGACGGATATCGAATTAGAATTTTACGCTGATCAAGAATATATATGCTTTGTTGGCTCTGACATATTTATTTCGAGGAGTTACAAACGGAATGACAAAGTTAATAACCCCCTTAGTATGGTGGAGGGTATAAAAACCCCGAAATGTCAATATTTTAGGAGTTACCGCCATTTTAAAGTTACCAATAATTCATGGATAAAAAGTGATCGCAAATAATTACTAAAAAACCCGAAATGTCTATATTTAATTAGTTATGGGCATTTTAACGTTTGTAATAATTATTCCTTGTCAAAAAAGTGACAACAAATAATAGCTAAAAACCCTGAAATGTCAATATTTAAGAAGTTATGGCTATTTTAAAGTTTGCAATAATTCATACTTAAAAAAAACCCCAAACGTCAATATTTAAGGAGTTATGGCCATTTTAAAGTTTGCAATAATTCATGCCTAAAAAAGTGATCACAAATAATAGCTAAAAACCCCGAAATGTTAATATTTAAGGAGTTATGGCCATTTTAAAGTTTGAAATAATTCATGCCTAAGAAAGTGATCACAAATAATAGCTAAAAACCCCGAAATGTCAATATTTAAGGAGTTATGGCCATTTTAAAGTTTGCAATAATTCATGCCTAGGAAAGTGATCACAAATAATAGCTAAAAACCCCGAAATGTCAATATTTAAGGAGTTATGGCCATTTTAAACTTTGCAATAATTCATGCCTAAAAAAGTGATCACAAATAATAGCTAAAAACCCCGAAATGTTAATATTTAAGGAGTTATGGCCATTTTAAAGTTTGAAATAATTCATGCCTAAGAAAGTGATCACAAATAATAGCTAAAAACCCCGAAATGTCAATATTTAAGGAGTTATGGCAATTTTAAAGTTTACAATAATTTATGCCTAAAAAAGTGATCACAAATAATAGCTAAAAACCCCGAAATGTCAATATTTAAGGAGTTATGGCCATTTTAAAGTTTTAATAATTCATGCCTAAGAAAGTGATCACAAATAATAGCTAAAAACCCCGAAATGTCAATATTTAAGGAGTTATGGCCATTTTAAAGTTTGCAATAATTCATGCCTAAAAAAGTGATCACAAATAATAGCTAAAAACCACGAAATGTCAATATTTAATGAGTTATGGCCATTTTAAAGTTTGCAATAATTCATGCCTAAGAAAGTGATCACAAATAATAGCTAAAAACCCCGAAATGTCAATATTTAAGGAGTTATGCCCATTTTAAAGTTTGCAATAATTCATGCCTAAAAAGTGATCACAAATAATAGCTAAAAACCCCGAAATGTCAATATTTAAGGAGTTATGGCCATTTTAAAGTTTGCAATAATTCATGCCTAAAAAAGTGATCACAAATAATAGCTAAAAACCCCGAAATGTCAATATTTAAGGAGTTATGCCCATTTTAAAGTTTGCAATAATTCATGCCTAAGAAAGTGATCACAAATAATAGCTAAAAACCCCGAAATGTCAATATTTAAGGAGTTATGCCCATTTTAAAGTTTGCAATAATTCATGCCTAAAAAGTGATCACAAATAATAGCTAAAAACCCCGAAATGTCAATATTTAAGGAGTTATGGCCATTTTAAAGTTTGCAATAATTCATGCCTAAAAAAGTGATCACAAATAATAGCTAAAAACCCCGAAATGTCAATATTTAAGGAGTTATGGCCATTTTAAAGTTCGCAATAATTCATGCCTAAGAAAGTGATCACAAATAATAGCTAAAAACCCCGAAATGTCAATATTTAAGGAGTTATGGCCATTTTAAAGTTTGCAATAATTCATGCCTAAAAAAGTGATCACAAATAATAGCTAAAAACCCCGAAATGTCAATATTTAAGGAGTTATGGCCATTTTAAAGTTTGCAATAATACATGACTAAAAAAGTGATCACAAACAATAGCTAAAAACCCCGAAATGTCAATATTTAAGGAGTTATGGCCATTTTAAAGTTTGAAATAATTCATGCCTAAGAAAGTGATTACAAATAATAGCTAAAAAGCCCGAAATGTCAATATTTAAGGAGTTATGGCCATTTTAAAGTTTGCAATAAGTCATGCCTAAGAAAGTGATCACAAATAATAGCCACAAACCCCGAAATGTCAATATTTAAGGAGTTATGGCCATTTTAAAGTTTGCAATAATTCATGCCTAAAAAAGTGATCACAAATAATAGCTGAAAACCCCGAAATGTCAATATTTAGGGAGTTATGGCCATTTTAAAGTTTGCAATAATTCATGCCTAAGAAAGTGATCACAAATAATAGCTAAAAACCCCGAAATGTCAATATTTAAGGAGTTGTGGCCATTTTAAAGTTTGCAATAATTCATGCCTAAAAAAGTGATCACAAATAATAGCTAAAAACCCCGAAATGTAAATATTGAAGGAGTTATGGCCATTTTAAAGTTTGCAATAATTCATGCCTAAAAAAGTGATCACAAATAATAGCTAAAAACCACGATATGCCAATATTTAAGGAGTTATGGCCCTTTTAAAGTTTGCAATAATTCATGCCTAAGAAAGTGATCACAAATAATAGCTAAAAACCCCGAAATGTCAATATTTAAGGAGTTATGGCCATTTTAAAGTTTGCAATAATTCATGCCTAAAAAAGTGATCACAAATAATAGCTAAAAACCACGATATGTCAATATTTAAGGAGTTATGGCCCTTTTAAAGTTTGCAATAATTCATGCCTAAGAAAGTGATCACAAATAATAGCTAAAAACCCCGAAATGTCAATATTTAAGGACTTATGGTCATTTTAAAGTTTGCAATAATTCATGCCTAAGAAAGTGATCACAAATAATAGCTAAAAACCACGATATGTCAATATTTAAGGAGTTATGGCCATTTTAATGTTTGCAATAATTCATGCCTAAGAAAGTGATCACAAATAATAGCTAAAAACCCCGAAATGTCAATATTTAAGGAGTTATGGCCATTTTAAAGTTTGCAATAATTCATGCCCAAAAAAGTGATCACAAATAATAGCTAAAAACCCGGAAATGCCAATATTTAAGGAATTTTGGAAATTTTAAAGTTTGCAATAATTCATGCCTAAATAAGTGATCACAAATAATAGCTAAAACCCCGAAATGTCAATATTTAAGGAGTTATGGCCATTTTAAAGTTTGCAATAATTCATGCCTAAAAAAAGTGATCACAAATAATGGCTAAACACCCGGAAATGTCAATACTTAAGGAGTTATGGCCACTTTAAAGTTTGCAATAATTCATGCCTAAAAAAGTGATCACAAATAATTGCTAAAAACCCCGAAATGCCAATATATAAGGAGTTATGGCCATTTTAATGTTTGTAACTATTCGTTCCCAAAAAAGAGATAACAAAAAATAGTTAAAAACCCCGAAATGTCAATATTTAAGGAGTTATGGCCATTTTAAAGTTTGCAATAATTCATGCCTAAAAAAGTGATCACAAATAATA